CCATCCCTTCCTCCGTCGCGTTACCATAGACAATGCACGTCACAATGTACGTTAAGCGTGCATTATGGATGTGTGATCTATTTAAGTCGAATAATACTATCAACTAGTTCACGAGACCTTTTGTGTGCTAACAAAGAATTTTTTTTTGGACTTCGTCAAGCAGCGTTTCACGCAAAGGCTTACGTGTCATCTATCATGGACATAACTGATCGGACCGGACAAAGMTTTTGAAAACAAGTGCGACACATGTGACAAAGAGCGACACACTTTGTACAAAGCCATGCATGAGAATCTTTTCTTTTGTTTTCATTTTTCTCTATTCAGCGGGCATCGTTGCGTCTAAATCTAGCGTTTACGTAGAAACGAAGCGAATGATAATGYGTTACCAATATTTGATACGGACACGACGCGATTCAAAATGAGCAATCAATCAATCGAAATTTCTTGAGACTTAATACGGATACGCYTTACGGTTACGCGATGCGTATTCCTCTTTCTGTTTCCTAATCATTCAAAAAYAATCGCGGGTACTTGTAATTACTTTACTTACTATTGAATTACGTTGTGGTGGTTACGAAGTCACGAACTTGAATTAAACGTTTCACATTTCCTTTTACTATTAATGCTGAAAAACATTTCAAATAGAAGTGGAAAATTTTGTAGCATAAAACTGAATCTCTCAATTCTTTTCCCTATCCCAATTTAATGATTAAAACGATGCATCACAAGATGGGATTTGAAAAACACCCGAGATTACTATAGCAATGAAGAGTACAAGATGTATCGTCGAAAAATTTCCCCATGTGGTTATAGAAATTAATATATTGAGAGATCTGGAGGTCGAAACGAGTCAAATTTAAAGGCAAAATTACTGAAATCTTTATAAAATATTATCTTACCTCCGTCATGATTTATCACGCCAWWWMACGCAAATTTCAATCTCAATAGGTCCAATTTTATGACCTCCTGCGATGAGGTTCGAAATTCTTAACCTAATWCGACATCTGCAGATGTTAATTGGCTCCAAAGATTATTACTCTTGCGCCTTTTCAGATYATTTGASGGTGTTCAGAAATTTATTAGATTCTTCAATATCAAATAATTGGTTTTTGTTGATTTTACCTTCATATAAATAGATTTTCCTCCCACACTGCGTTATTTCGTTGCGGAGCCTGTTGATTATGGTTGTTGTTTTTCCAGTGCTAAAAATGTTTTGACTTATAAGTTTAAAATTCAAACATTTGACATTCAAATCACGGCATGTACCCCCTGTTGCCTCTCGATTACTTGTCAAAACCAGCAGGAAAGACTTACAAACAACAGCGCCAATGAAAAGAAATACATTTGAAGACGTTCGTTGTTAGATTTTTTTTCTCAAAAATTGTTTTTTTCCTGGATTTATTTTCTTAAATATATTTTTAAATTATTCGTTGCATAACTTACGTTTTCATTGGTTCAGATCATGAGAATTTATATCTTTTCATKATTCTAACTGATTTTACTAGCAATTTTCTTCATTCAGTATATAGCTTATTGAAAATATTCAATGTAACGCTTCTTCTAATTGGCTGGTTATACCAAACAGCATCTTTAGTTACGTTGGTTTGTAACGAATGCTCTTATTGGCTGATACCATGTTGACATTTTGTCGGCCCTCCAATCTTAAACAGGAAGTTCTTTTGAAAGACAGATAAAACGTMTGGCTTCGATCTCTTACACTACCACTATCGAGTAGAAAAGAAAGCTTTTCTAAAGCTTGTTTCTCCCGCTGTTTCTAGCCATCCCCACCCTGTTTAAACTAGAATTACGTACAAACTATCTCAATTGGGGATTTTCATTATGAGATATTCCATTTTTGACAAAACCAGCATGTTGTGATGGCGCCGATGTTACCAMTCTCGAGCATTTATTATCTCCAATTATACTAAATTGTTTATCTTTTGAATTTTTAAGAGTTTTTATTTTTGGCATGCCATGACGTCACAGCCGCCATTTTGAATGAAAGTAAAACCCAATCACTCGCTGTGGATTTCGTTTTTTAATTATGATTTAATGAAATCCTMATAAAATTTATTTGCTAAATTCAGCTTTTAGTCTGCATATTTTAGGAGTTTGGTAGAGAATCACCACATTTGTTACACTTTAGAAAATTATACAAAATAATTCTTCAGTCATGACAGGGACGTCCCTGGTCATGATTTAGGTCTTATTAACCGAGCGCGAGGTCTGTACGGGAGAATCTTGACTGAGGTCGGGAACTACAGACCGAGCACAGCCCGACCGAAGTCCGTGCAAGATTCTCCCGTACAGACCGTTTTGAAAGTTTTACTTTGTTTTCGCAAAGGTTTTCGCTTTTATTATGGTAAAAAAAAAACAATCGAAATCGCTTTTCTATGGTCTGTACGCTAATCGACAATTCAAATGACGCCAGAAAATGACCAAAATTTGGTAGTCAAAATGTTTTSTTTGCTCTACAAATGCCGGAATTTCAATTTGTACAGGCCTTTCCTACCTAGGAAAATATAGACCGGAGCAAAATCGAATTCGGCCAATCAAATGCCTCCATTTGCTAGCGCCCAGACTCCTAGTTACACGGTCATATAATAAATCCCAATATTTCTAAAATTCTACTTTGATATATTTGAATATAGTGTAGGCGGGGTCAGAATTATTGCAAATAGTAAAGCTATTGTACGAGTTACATTGCTACAATTAAATTTCATTGATTGTCGTGTAGCAAGTTAACTAAGGAAACATTACCTACAAACAAGTTCTTTATATGGTAAAAAGTAACATCAATGTTTGATTATTTACGATCTTCACTTTACCCATAGTTCTTTTCAGGCATTTCCTCCGCCATCTTAATAATAATAAATCATTAATAATATATCAAATAATAATCTAATCAATACTAAATAATAGTGCCACATGATATAAGATACTACAAAGTAGCTGAGATTTCAAAGCGGTACCTATGCGGATATATTTTCAAGAGATAAAATTGTATTTTCGTTCAGGCCTATCACTTACACAAAACCCCCGAAAAGTGAATTAAAAATGTTTTACACAGCGGGTATAGTCGCTATGCGTTTTGAAAAATGATAATCGCTTTTTTTTCTTCTTAAAACGTGAATAAGAATATGCGGTTTCGAGTAATCCTACAATTTTCATGATTTGAGAAATTTGAATTTTCGCTATCAATTGCACTTCTCTCTGACATAGGTTATCGAGAAGTTGTTTGTTACAACGCCTTTCATTCCAAGCTATTCTTTGCTACAAAGTGTTATATTTATAGATTGTTTATCTATATCTTTAAAAATCTCTTAAGTTTGAACACCAATATTATTTTATTTAATACGGGATATTGTKTATTCATAAGCGTGAGAAAACATGGGAAAGCTTGTTGTTATTCCACCATATAATTTGCAGTTTGAATAACAAAGAAAGCTTGTTTATGYACGACATACTGTGAACGGTTCCTTTCATCCACATTGGACACCGTTGCGTCTCACTCTTGGCCCAAAAACACCGCCAAAGATTTGTAATAGTTCTAGACCTGTTTGCATATATAGGCCGGGCTATCTCACATGTGTTGAGTTCACTTAAGAGTGCGATATGTTTAAAACTTTTCAGTTCCTGATCATTACCATCTTGGGCACTTGTGAAATTCGACAAGAGCAGATACAGGGATTCTCTTAAATTTACACACAAATATTATAATAAATATGCAGGATTGGCGTGTTTAGCTACTCACTTTTAGCTCACAGTTGTCAAGAGTTCAGAAGCGTAAAAATAAAAATAATGACATAAATAAATAAAAAATTGAACACATTCCAAAATACAAGTAAAGCAACGTTCAATTCAATCTAATATATTTTTACAATATTTATATTTATAATGCCTTTAATCTATTGATCTATTCTTGAATAAACCCTCTTTCCCTTCACCCCCCTGGTAAAGTTCTCGATCGGTCATTGCTCAATACATGGAAATGTCCTTATATAGCTGACTTCAATTTTATAGTGTTATAAACTTAGCAAATAMTCATACCATTCCTATGCATGTAAATTTGAGCTCTGTTGTTTCGTGTGATCTTGTAAAATCTTCTGTAATTATTTTACATGCTTTCTGAATTTTCTGGCGYTTTCATGTCAGGGAATCGATTTCTTTTCTGGCGTACCGCGTTGTTTAATTATATATTTTGGGCGTTTGAATTACATRTAAATTCGCCGGATAAATTGTTCTTACTATGAATCAAACTTAAAGTTAATCGCAGTKATCAATATTTGATAGATATTTTATGAAATGCGTGGCACTGACTGGCTAAAATGTAATATTKATAGGATGATTCTCAATGCAACTTTATCTAGTAATTATTGGACAGTTGCCTTTAGGCAAGTATGTCCAAAGTATGAGCTTCTTTTAATGTATTTTCTGACTGTTCTATTTCTCTTTTTTCTCTTTTTTATGTTTTGTTTCATTTACTGCTATGCCTATGCTTCCAACGATTTTGTCGTGTTTTGTTTTGAAAATTATATACTCGTGTGGTGTCATATCTATCCAATCACAAAAACTTTCAAACTACAAGCCCTTGTACTGAATTAAACTAGCGTTAAAATAATAAATAAAAATTAATGAATGACTTCTGAAATGTGCTTGAAATTCATAACCTATTTCTAGGAACACAAAAGAAAATAGTTAACRTTATTTATAGGTTTATAGAAGACAGAGTAAACCTTAAAATGATAGGTTATAAGAATTTCAATTATAGATAAGTGACGTCACTCAATCAAACCTATTCATTGTTCACATCGTATCTCATGAACSGCAAATTTCGTTCTGACAATCGAAATCCCAAATTTCAAAATTTTTTGTCATTTTTTCTTATTCACTGATTTTGAGCGATTTTTAAAATAGTCCCTCTTAAAAGAGATAAAAAATTCACTTTACCGGTTAAAAAATAACATGACAACAACAAAGAATATAAGCCAATACCATACCTTCAAATTTCAAAGATTCTGTACCGATTTAGCAGTTTAACTAGTCGACTAAAATCCAAGTTTGTCTTCATTTAGTTCCACCCGACACAGCTGGTGTAGTTGCAAAACTGTAAATCTTGYCAATGAATGCTTAGCCATGGAGAACCAACAAAGCTTAATATAGTAAAAACCTTTGCTACAACCTTGGTCAGTTCTTTTAAGGTTGACACTTCCTCAGAGGTTGTCAAGTTCACCGTCTGGCCAAACTTTTTAGCAGGTTATATCGGGTTCAAATTTGAATAAAGTTTCTGTCTATACTCAGTGATTTTTAACTTAAAAACAACAACTTAAAGGTGAGTATTTCTCTTGTTATCCCCACTTTTGCTTTCATTTATTAATTATTAATAGTACAACACAAAAAACGCTTTTTACGACTTTTTTAACGAGGCTACAGAGAAACGGATCAAAGAAGCCGTGTGCGAGAATAATTTGTGTATTATAACTATGTTTTTTTTAAAAAACGATTGACATAAATTTTGTGAACTGGAAATTGTTATGTCTTTGAATAGGTTTCTAAAAAATTAATCACTTTTCAGGTCACAGTCAAACGCCGAACTTGATTTTGTTAAAATTTCTTTGTTATAATTAAGCTTACAGAAGCAGTTTACTCTGGTATTTCAAGTTAAAAACTATGTTCCTTTCATATTGCAGCTTGCATTGAATGCAGAACGTTTGGCATTTGAGGGAACTAGTCTTCATTGTTCAATCAAACTGAAACAAACAGAAATAAATAACGAAGAAGAAAAAAAATATAAAAAATAAATGAATAAAAAAATTAATCGGTCAAAATGATAAACCATAGATCCAATGTATTATTTATCAAATCAAATGAGAGCTTTTGATTGGCTAACACTTTTCTATATGCGACGTAAGTTGACTTGTTTTGACGTCAAATCGTACACTTTATGAGTAAATTTTTACTAAATTAAAAACGTGCCATTTTGCTTTGCAGGTGTAAACCTTATTTTTTTATGTTTTGAAGAAATGCACTGAACAAAAGAATTTTTGATCATGAGTTTCGGCTATAATTACAGAAACGGTGGTCGGAGGGTGTCATTCAGTTTTCCATCTTGACGCAGTCTTCGGCGCTTTTCGTGGGTGATAGCCGCCTAGACATTCATAATTTTCCTTGTTATTAACAGTCTGATTGACCAATCCAACATCAAAAGGATCACACACAAAAACATCAAACAAATCAATATATGTGTAAAAATGTCGTTGAAAATTATTGTACTGGGTATACATGACTTCGATATTTCGCGGATAAAAAAAGTACTGATACAATATTCAAAACAAGAGCATAGTCGACAAAATAATGATCTAGCTTTCCAGCTCACTGACTGTCTATCAAAACTTCCAAAGCTATTAAGTGGGCTGATAATGAGATCATAGGCACTGCTGGCTGATGACCAAAATATGACTCATTCGTACTTCCTTTCAAAAATGATGAGAATTATGTATATAAAATACCTATGATACAAAATACCTTTTAAGAGAAATTACTGTAAAGATGTGATGTTTACGTAAACATATTTTCGTAAACTCTTGAGCTAATTCACATAGGTTTTTAATACTAACCCATAAATTTCAAGGCAATTCATGTTATTCGTAACATACATGCATATAAAATTCTTATAATTTACGCGGAAAAGATGTGTATAGTCTACCACGACCTTTGGTCGGTCGCTTTTTGAGCTTGACAATAGAAGAATGATCAAAACAAAAAGTAAARATAAAAATAAATACAATTTAATTATTTTCTATTCTAACACATGCCGAAGTTTCCTTGCAAAATTTAGTCCACTAAATGACTTATTTTAATCGAAAGACGAAAGTTAGATCCTTATCTTCAACTATCAATATTTCTGCTGTTAATATTGATTAATAGAGAAGCTAGTTTGAAGTTTCAGATAAATAAACAAATCTTATAACAAGAAAGATGTACTTCAAAAACACCTTCTAATTCTACATATGTCATACTAAATTCAACTATTTTTTGTAAGCTTTTTTGTATTTAAAAACAGTTATATTTCGGCCTATTTTTGTACTTACCAAAGTCTTGATGAACCTTCCAAACATTTCACGGTAAGCGTGAATCAGCGAAGTATTAGACTTTTTGACTTTCTATTATGAAAAACATATTTTTTTGAATATTAATGAATGAGATAAGGAGATCGCTGTGAAATTAAATACCTTTTCAGTGAAGTCAAAATATTACAAGTGGTTTAAATTTAGATTCAAATTAATTCTCAATGAATGTATTCGACTCAAATAAGCCCCCTTAACGGTAGGTGGTTCGTAGTTTTGTCTGGTCAGTTCTTATTACTTGTAAGGAAAAAAGAAGGAATGCTTAATAATGTGTTTGACTATTAAAAGCCTTTCTGTGGCTGTTGATTGGAGAGCAAAAACACATGACCGTCATTATATCGATTTACATGTAATTTGGGGAAGAGCAAATTTTATGAAGAGACGATTGTATTTGTCCAGTTCGAGTTACGCCGCAACTCACATGCCCGGGGGGGGGGGGGGGGTAGTCCCCTATATTCGCTATATTTGATGCTGGGTAAAAATTCATGGGGGGTTCTCCATACATTTCTTTGTAATTTCAATACATTTCCGGGGTCATCAGTGCGTGACGCGCGTGAAAAATACAAAGAAATGTATGGAGAACTAAAAATGAGTTTACTCGCTCTCTAGATCAAGTATGCCTTTCAAATTTGGCCAGTTAACTCCTTTTTGCAGTATCTAACGTTTGCAATTGATAATTCGTTCGGACTTTGAATTCAGCGAGAATTATTTGACATCGATTTCCCGGTCATTCCTTGTTATTTTGCGACACTTTGCCTACCGGAACAAAATGGTGGCCGAAACCGTCACCTCATCTATTCTTTTTGAAGCGCAATTCAATGAAAACACATTATTATTTTTTCTCATTTTATATGAACGGGTTTCCTTTGGTRCTCGCCCTAGGCCTTTATGTGGAGGAAATTTGTCGCGCGGGATCTGGAACTTTGCCGCGCGTTTTCACAAAATGGCCGCAGTTGCCCGCAGTTGCAAACACTGGTTTAAAAGCAAGCTGTACTCACTTTCTTTAGGATTATAGCAAGGTAAGATATATATGGTGCTTTTTTTTAATGCAGTAAATGTTGTTTTAGAGTGYGTTTCTGTGTGTACCGGAATCTATTGCATTCTGGTTAGGTTTCATTGTATTTCGGGGTATCGTTTAGTTCTGATTCTTTGTTTTAAGCTTCTGTTTCTATTGAATTACGTCATCTATACTCCGGTACCTACAGAAGCATCTACGTGGGGGTCTACGTCTTGCTGTTTGACATATTAAAGTTCATGTAACTTAAGTTATATTAATAATATATACTTATCTTATACACTTGCTGCCTTTTGTATTGTTTTCATCACTGCTATCAGCTCGTGCTTCTAAACATTTTCTCGTGAGTTTAAATACCAAGCGTGCGTTTATCAGAGTATAAACCACGGCTGAGCCTTATTTATTTGTTAAATAATTAATATATAATAACTATTAGTGAATTATATTTTCAGGCTTTATTATGATGGCAATAATGATTATACAGATAATATTTACACAGTCAACTTGTTATAATGGGCACCCAGCCAGGTACTATAACTTCACCATTGTGTCTGCAATCGTCTGTAATAGCAGTGTCTTCTGTAAAGGTATTTTTAAGTAATTTCTGAATTTTTATTTTGTYGGTATTTCAGTTAATTTATGTGACTTTTTCACAGCCCTATATTTGCTATACAGGTAYGTGTTGCTCAATAGGGACCCTTTTTCGGAGCTGAAAAGTCCGGATAGGGTATCATATTTTGCCCATTTGTCTGGGATAGGGTAGTAGTTTTGTCTAGGATAGGGTATAGTCTCATTTTCTGGGGTAGGGTGGAGTTTTGCCTGTGAYYGTATCTGCTAGGCCACACTTTCAGCGCTAAAATAGTGTACCTTTGTATACCTTTAGTAGGGTATGGGTATGTAAAATCACAAAAATTGGTCTGGGATAGGGTAAGGGTTTTGAGGGTTGTGCGGCACATCACCATCCACGTTGAGGAGGGAGTACACCCCTCTGGGCTTCACAGGTAGTAATGTTTTGAATGTTTCTTATCAAGGTATGTGGTTTTATTGAAAGTTAATTTGAAAGTTTATTTGATTTGTTAATTTGGGTTTGACATATCTTTTCCTGAAAAAATGAATGCAAAAAGAATTCAAATTTTAAAGATTTCTATGATAAATCTAAAAATTGATATAATTTAATTTAAAAATGTGTGGGGTACAATAATTCCACTTTATTGAATGAATGATTGCTATTTCATAAAWTATTTTTATATCRMTTGGYGKRTTTTTTTTCCTTTTATGTTGCGATATTTATTGCTGACATACTGTGMTTGGCTAATTAGCATTGAATATTGAAATCACTGTCATGGCAGCTATTGTGAATGAGGTCTGTTACTCCATGTATATTTTTAAAATGCAGTTTCTTGCCTATAATATGACTTTCTCTACACTTATGAACAATATTCTTTGTGCTATTGTGGATTTTCATTTCAAGAGTTTATTTCAGAAATATTATTTCATGAAACTATAAATTTCATGTATTGTCAACAAATCTGAGACATTTTTATGATATTATTATACACTTACACTATCTTCTGCAGGGAAACCAATATATTGTTTTGTCTACTTTGCAATTCAGCCACATCCTTAGCTTAATTAACATGTAAATTTGTCAGCTGTTGTTTGTTTGAAAAGCCTTTTTTGCTATAATGTTTGCAACTTTCAGGCAATTGAAAGCTTTAAATCAAAAAAGGCCAAAAACATTTGCTTCCAAATATGGTAAGATTACCATATATGGCTGCTAAATTAATGATATGATATGATGTTTGCTTCTTTTGTTTGGTATGATTATATTCCTCAGGAAATGACGAGATATTTCAATTATACCATGGTTTCTAGTGATATATAATGTACTGTGCAATATCCCATATGTTTCTCGTACTTCCAAGTAAGCACATCAAACAATAAACAATAATATCCCATAGATGTTGCTCATACTTCCTAGTAAACGCACCAACCAATAAACAAGTGCATCAGTACTGAAAAATGCGATGGAAGGAATGGGATGTCCATGGTATGTAACAAGAAAATACAACCAAGTTCTAGATAGAAAGTGTCATTTGCATACTGCTTGTAAAGGATGGCTTTTCTGCTATCTGATAGGTGCAAATTTTCAAAATGTCTTCCTTGGCAGATTTCAGTGCTTTCGGAATAATAGTCAAAACAGTGAAAACTAGCAGCATCAGTGTTTCTAAAGAAATAGTTTTGCAAAAAGAGGATTTAAGATAAACGTTTTAAGGTTAAACAAGTAACTCAATTAAACTTTTTTTATTTTTTGCTTGATCAATAAGCTAACTCAAAGAACCGCTGGTTCACAGCATTAAATACAAAGGACTGTGCCCTGATTCCAAGCTAAAAGATCATTTCTAAATCTTGTTCTAAGATGCCTGTCTTTCGCATACAGTTATCTTAGAAAAAGTTGAATGAGGAAGACCGAAATGCATTGTTGGACGTTCTATCGCCGTTAAAAATGTTTTCGATGTTTCAAAGTGACTATACCAGCTCCGCACATTAATAAGTTTAGAAATTATAACTTTGTAACGCAGACCAACATGGAGTTTAATTGCAATAATGCAAGTTGCGATCTTGGAATACCCTATATAGTATTTATTATTAAACGTTTGAAATAGCTGTAATCCTTAATGCACTTCAAGCAATAAACGTGAAATGGTTTAACCACCGTTCAGTTTTAACTAAAAAATAATGTATCTTTGCGTAAATTTGYACATTCATGTATGGTTAATCCTAGCGAATATACTACACTACTCTGTTGTTATTTAGAAAATATACATTATGTAACTCTAGGTATTCGTTTAACTGGCGAGTTCCTTGAGTTCTTTTTCTGATCTTCTCGTTCAGCGCCTTCTTGAAGTATAGGAATTGGCAAAGCAAGCATTATGATTCCCATGATGCAACACATACCTCCAATCAACTTACCACTTGGCGTAGTGGGTACTACGTCACCGTAGCTAAAAAGAAAACATTAATATTTAGTGTTAAGAAATGAGTCACTAGACCATGTGGGATATATAGGCTMAGAAATGATATAAGAGCATGCGCAGACGATACGCTCAGGGGTCCTTGCGAAAATTTTATTTTTAAACACTGATATTAAGCGTTGAGAAATGAGTCACTAGGCCATGTGGGATATATAGGCTCAGAATTCATGTAAGAGCATGCGCAGACGGTACGCTCGGGGGTGAACTTTTATGACGTCAAGAGTGTCAATAAGAAGAAGTCCAACTCAAAACAGTGAGCAGGAGTGTTCTTCACGCTTMCCTGCGCCATATTGAAAGATAGCCGTGCCTTTGTATCGAAGCGAGACGACCGCTGAGCGTGCAATGATATAGAAACCTTCTTTCACACATATACAGACAATTATTCAAAGGTATCTATCATTGCACGCTCAACGGTTATCTCGCTTTGATGTAAAGGCACGGCTCGCTTTCAAGATGGCGCAGGGAGCCGTTAAGGAGACTATTTGTTAGATATCTACTTACCCAACAGTCATCATAGTGACTATAGTGTACCACATGGAGTCAGGAATACTGATGAACTGATGGTCAGACTCCTCCCTTTCAACATAATACAAAACACTTGCAAACAGGATATTAGCCAATAAGAAGGCGAAGAATAAGAATCCAAGGTCCAAAAACGCTCTCTTTAGGGCGTGGCCCATCTTCCTCATTTTCTTAGAATGTCTAGACAGCTTCAATATTCGAAACATCCTAAGAATCCTTAGTACGACCAGCGCGTTTGCGTTTTCAAATAAACCACCAGAATCTCCGGCAAAATATTGTACAGACAGTTGAATATAAAACGGTAGTATTGCGAGTAGATCGAGGACATTCATTTTATCAGTGATGAATTTACAGCGGTGTTCAGCAGCGTAGAGTCTGATGATATACTCGAATGTGAATACAGACATGCACACTGCCTCGCCAACGAAGAAATGATTAGGGTACACCTCAGCGCATGTTTTATTAAGCTCGCAATGAATCGTTTCTACGATAGTCGTTATAACACTAAGATAGATTAAAGCTGTTATGAACGTTTGAACGCATTTTCCAAGCCGAGTATCCGTAGATTCAAATATCTTCCTAATGTAACGTCGAATAACTGGTGTGCTACATTGATTGTTCTTTTCTCGTAGTTGCGGCTCKCTACACGGACACAAATTCGCCGCGTTCTGATTTATACATTCTTCTTCATAGCAGCAGTCGTTTATTTCCTCGACTGAAATTCCAAAAAAATCCAGTTCTTGTTGAAATGCTTCGAAACAGTCGTCGAACGATAAGTGAAGGCTGCCGTCTTTGTAATACCGTAAAATGTACCGAAACATGTGTGGATCTCGATCGAGAAAGTATTCTTGTTTTTCCTGGTCGAAGAAAAGTTGCAAATGTTCGCTGCCAAGTAGTGTATTTGGGTGTTTTTTCAATGTGCTTTCCCATGTGGAGAACTTTCTGCCACTTACGTTGAGTGTTATAATTTTGTCATCTTTTCTCAGGTAGCGACGTGTACGTCTTGATTGCAGTGTCATGCATCGACCGGGCTGTGTTCTTTCGGCTTGCACCTTGTTAGACTTTCACCTGAAACGGTACAAATGATTMATTACGATTATCACCGTCACTTCACCATCACGGTCGCCATCACCATCGCCGTCACTCGTATTCAAGCGATCTTCAAGCGATTTCGAGCAAATGTAAATGCTTGTTTTTGATTAGTACTTTACCGATTACATTGGAGATTACATGATTGTGGCCTTTATCAGACCACCAAATAAGTTGATATTCTAGCAACCGAAATTATAATGTTATGTTTACAACGAAAATTTAATTTAGTAAAAAACAAGCACTTGTTTCCCTCTATATTTAGATAACTGGCCCATGACAATCAAAAGTCGGCCAAGGTAAATGCGCCTAATGATGATTACTTGTACATCAAACACAACATTACATTAATTGTTAAGTATCAGAGTGTAATGCAAACATAAGATGAAAGGTTTTTTTTTTCAATGTGGATAGAGCAATAAAAAAAACCGCCCAATATAATGTACTTTGATGTGGAAAAATTCCTCTATAATTGTTTATAAAAGCGAAAATAAGAAGATACTAAAAATAATAACATGTATTTGTTCGTAACCTTGATAACTGCCTTCAATCCTAAGRAATTACTGCMTTGTTTTTGGCTTAMTCGCTCACCTTGGCTTGCTCAGCAATATCAGAAGTTATTTGAAGATAACGATAGTTTCTACAGGGACTTATTTTACTGAAAACRACGAACATGAAAATCCTTTATCTTCATAATATGCCTACACTTTGTTGCTCCAATTTATTCAAAAGAAGCGTTTGACTTTTGTATGTGTTGATTTGCTTCAGCGATATCCACTGTTTTCACTGAAAGGCTAATMGGTACTTTTGAACAACAGCCTTTTTGTKTGAGTGCTTTGAACAAAAGCCTTCAAAACAAATTAATATGTATTTACACATAGTTCAGACACCGAAGCTTATGCGGAAATCAAGAGGATGTTAAATAAACAAAGTGGTCGGAGGYYATTGTAGCAAATCCCAGTAAAGCAATTAAAAACTTTCCAATTTAGCTAACTCTAGCTAGTCAAAGGAACCGACCTATAAAAGTCCCAATAATCAATTTGTAATCTCGTAAAATAAAGAGAGGTGTATAAAGWGGGAGCTTTWCGAGGTACTTTACGTGGCTTTAGCTWAAAACAAAATCAACTAGCTAATTATACAGCCACTTTTCTGCCATTTCAGTATCCTTATAAAAACTATTTTTTTTTAACTTATGTGTCTTGATGTTGAATGCATATCGASATACGCGAGGAGTTATCAGGAGATATAAGACACAAGAGAATAAAAGAGAATAATTTAGAAACGGAGCTAAAAAGTAATGAAAAATAAAAAAAAAACAAGCAAACTAGATGTTAGAAACGAGAAAATATAAGTTAACAGACGAGGTTTTTAGTAGTATAAAACAAATAGGAACATTTACAATAAGAAAACGTGAGAAACTTTCGAGAAGAAACTGTGAAGCAACAACAACAAAAACTTTAAAAAATGCAAAAATAACCACAACCGCGCAGCAACAACAACAGCGGCAGCGACAACAATAACTGCAACAGGAACAACAACAACAACAGCAACAGCAACAAATATCTAGGAGAATTAAGAGAGAGAAAATACTTACCAAGAATCTACACAATATTGAATCGTGTAAAATTTTCCTCTACGTCATATGAAAGGCTAACATATCTCTATAATTGCCCTTTATATCTATATAACACGAATACCTTTCAGTGACTCAAAGACTACAAAGTCAAATGACTCCCGTTTCCATTTATAGCCTATACATTACGGACAAATAATTCAATTGCTGATTGGAGCTTTTATAAAGCGTACTTTTAAGTACTTTTAAAAGCGGTATGTTTGTGAAGCAGCTTTACCTCGTTAAAGTTTTTTTCAGAACAAGACAGGCATTAAGAGGTCTTTTTGATACTTCATCAGTTATTTTAAAAAAGCGCGCGATGTGATTGGTCGAAGGGCGGTCCGTTATTCAATTTTAACTGTCTTTACAATYAACGTTATCTAGATCTAAACAGAACATTTTCAAGATGGCGTCGTTTGAATAGACTACCAGAATGCCCAGCTCTTAATTGTTAGATTTTAATTTTTTTTTTAAGCCTTGATGAAATAAGTGCAGCTAATCAGTATAAAAAATAGTGTATTCGAAGCAATCTGTTTTAGTAAAAGTGTACATGTCATGTTGCTTAATTTTAATAAGACAGTCGTATGAATGTAGAAATTATCTTTCACAGATGTTGGTCAAACATGGATCACACAATATGCAATCRAGCAGTAAGGCTCTGTTCACGCGATGCAGGATATCTTTGCAACTCGAATTGCTTTTTGCGGTTACAAAATTTACTACATCCAAAYGTATTCAAAGTGTTTTCCAGAACTTTCGACCGTTTCGAAAATTTTCGGTACGTGTAAACRCAMGTTCTAATCATAAAAATCCCAAGTTTATCACAGGATAATGATCTATATGATACCAATATGTGAATGATTTTAGATAACGAAACGAAAGGAAGACGTCGAAAGGGCGGGAAAAATCCATCGGAAATACAGCTGCCATATTTCCGTATGAACCGAGTGCATTCAAATCACCATTGTCAGAAACAATGAAAATAACTAGTGTTTGACTAATTGTCGCATTAGACAAACAAATGATTAAAAATATAAATAAACGCAAAAAGACAATGTTGTATTTTGTCTACGAATCAAAAAGGTGTTATATTTTTAAGTCAAAAGAAAAATGTTTAAACTAAGCTATATGAGGTCTCTGTTCTTGCCTAGATAAGTGTGCAAGGGGTGTCCACTAAGGCCATAAAGACGCGCGAAAWGTCTTAATATGACCAGCGGAATAGACAGGATATATCGGCCAAGTAGATGAACTCGAGCAAGGACGAGAGAAAAAACGGTTGACAGCTCTTATAATGTCAKTGAGCAGCTTCTTGTAACAATTCATGCAAAATAGAAGTAATGATTACCTTAAAGAAACATGTTTATGTTTACAAATTGTGGGCTTCTTAGAAACACAGAAAACGTAGTGACGTTTTGAACGTTAGTCTCTAGCCTTCGATTTTAATTTCTCTCAATGATTTTCGCTGTTTCATGACCTGAATTATAGTCGATTGTTAAGTTTCATTGCATTGCACATTTTAAGCGTAATGTATATTCTATATCTCAGTTTYCATAGACATTGAAATGAGGATTGAAATCGGATGCCTACATAATATACGCAATTTTCTTTTCGATGTGAACACCCACGATAAAATTTGGTAAAATAATTACAATGTAAATTAGAAAACACTCAGCCTGAAGTGAAGRAAGGAGAATTGTTCTTGAATAAAAMTTAAATCAAAATGAATTACATCTATATATGTGCTAGTCCTGTCTTGCAGAAATAAATAAGAGCAGATCAAGTGGACTTTTAAGGTTATGCTTTATTTGATTTTTAGCGCTTTTTGAACTACASACTGATATGATCTAATGGTAGTCCAACAATTTTAGATTAACACGTTAATAATATTTTTAGACTTTTTTTTTGCAGAAACGTACGTCAAATTTAAAAATTGAATCCTGAACAAAAAAGGGAATTCTCACTTTTATATCCGTTTTTACACTCAGTTTTTCGCCTCGTTATATGTAGTTAGAAATTTTTAAGTGTGTTGACTTTTCGAAACAGTGGGTAGTGGTAAGTGAAATCCTCCTCCAAGCGTTTTTTTTCTCGAGTGATGAACATTTCATGAAATAAGTCCTGCACAATTCGTTTTTTCGCAATGTCCTGTAAAAATTATTTTTACGTTTTTGGGTGGTCTTCATTAACAATTTATATACTAACATAAGCTTTTTTATTTCTTTTCTTTGTACTGTATTACTTTGGGTGGACCTTACAACTGTCAAAAGTCGATTTAATTGTTTAAAACATTTATACGCTTAATTGCTTCATAAAATGATATCATAAATATTTCAAGACATGGAAAGATAAAAAATATATCAATAGATAGCGTTTACATTGAAATCTCGTGGAATTTGATTTGACGAGACGTCAAAGYATTTAGCGAGAACTTTCATTATTTTTCGATTACAATTTTTGTTCTTTACGCTGACTGAATTGTGTAAATTGCATCTATATTGTATAGAAATTACCCTAGCACACCTTTTTTTCCGATCACATTTTTCTTTGCAATTTCAATACATATGTACATTGTATTATTCAGAATAATATATTACCTAACAATTTTACCATGTTGTCTTAAATTGCTTATTACTAAATTTCTACATATTTCGCGAGTTAGAAGCAAAATAATATACCAGTTCTAAAATGTTTTCTTACCTTTCACGTATTTACTCTAAATCTGAGGCTTCCCAACTTACTGACAAACACGAGAGACGAGAGTGATATATATTTTCATTGTTAACATCCCAAGCGATAGCGAATCAATTTGGTTACATCAAAACAGCATGATACACGGACAATGTTTAACAAATATTTTCTGTCAAACACGAAACAGTTGTGTAGCGATAAAAGGCTGTGTATTTATGTGGTAATAAGAGATCACATTAATATTTATATCGCGGCCATACGAGTACTCTTCCCTGAAGTGTTAAATGAGCTTTGGACAACCCTAAAGTGAAGTAGTATATATATAGCAGATCAGTCCATTGTAACTGACATTTCAAATAGATAAATGTGAGATTTTTGGTCAAAGTAATCGACTAGAAGGTGTATAATTGAGYTGACACTTTCSGCTCTTTGCAAACGGAWATTACCTTTTTTAAGTTAAAAAATCTATTGAATTGTGTTAACCGAAACAAAMTATCAAAAGCGTCATCCAATGAAATTGTCGGAATGAGTACGCATGCGCTTTTAGACGGTTCTCACAATGCACATATGCTTTTAACTCGTAACGTAATGTTTCTTCKYTTTTTTCACGTCAATCACAAGAGCAAAGAGAGCACTTACGAAAACATTCTGACATASTTGTATTCCTTACATATTAGGTATMACTAGGGTTAAGGTTGTAAACACGTCAAGCAAATTTATATAAAAATGTTCTTTTTCGTTTCTATCAAGTTCTTTTCAAGTAGTGCCATCTRTCATTTAAAGCAGCGGTCATCTCGCCTTTAACAGGAAAATAAATCTCCATGGAGATCCGCTCGCATCAAACCGAGGTCGGGGACAGAGAAATAATTAGCAAATCGGTTAAGACCCCCTTCTTTACATTTTGATATAAGAGTACTTTTCATTTTTTTTGCTTTCCTGTACTGTGGAAAATGCGAATGTTGATGCAGCGAAGATTTTTTTTTTAGCAAGGAGCAATAGTTTTCTTTCCTCATCGCTTATAATTCTGAACTAAATTTCTCTGAACTAAAAGATCCCTGTTCCTCCCGAATTTGACAAATTTTCTTGTGAATTTTATCCAAGATTCACCATCAAAGTTACTGGCTTACGAGGAAAGCTTCAGCGACAGTATGACTAAATACCTCAGCACTAGAAATAACAGCAAAAGACTAATCTGAAGTACCTTGAATTCGAACYCTTGACAATTGTCTCAAGTCTGACTCTGTTCGCTTTCTTTTTGTGCACTTTCCCAGCAGAGAATTCAGAATATTTCATATTAACAATGCAACAGTACAACGGTTGCTTCTTTTGATGGTTAAAACAACAAGATAAAACGAAATTATTTGGGTTTAGTAGTGATTTAAGTTACATTTGAACCAGTTTGTTTGGTTCTTTATGTCTCTGATTTGTGGGAAATATCAAGAGAGATCCATTACTGACATGGTATTGTTAGAACCGTTTTGTTGAACATGCGACTTGTTTATCTCTGGCGGCGATAATGAAAAAAGAGAACTAAACGCTAAACTAGTGTAAGCTGCCTCGATATTTTAATAAAACACGCTTTGAGAGAAAATGATGTATTATACTCCTCAAAAGGATATTTTGATGGTTTTAATGCAATGTTTTGACTAACGCAATGCATTCTATTTAATCAAGARCAATAAATAGATGCGATTGGGGAATTTGGATGTTTTTTTTGTTTTTTGTTTTGAAAGAAGGCTTAAAAAACTGCTTATACTTACTTCTATATTTATTTAATGTGTGCTTTTTCAATTATAAAAATATATAAAAAATGTTGTCAAGTTGTCTTTAACTTGTCTACAAAAGATGAATAATTGTTGCTGAATTTATTTACTAGAATCTTCATTTTCAACTATGACATCTACATAAAAGAAGATTGAACGCTTGTCTTACTGGTTAAAAAAGCTGAATTTCTACTGAATTTATCTACTAGAATCTGCATTTTCAACTGTGGAATTATTTACATAAAAGAAGGATGAAAGCTTGTCTTAARACTGGTTAAARASGCTGAATATTTACTRMATTTATCTRCTAGAACCTGTWCTTTCAAATATGACATTATGTACATAAAAGAACGRTGAAAGCTTGTCTTAAAACTGGTTAAAAAAGCTGAATATTTACTGAATTTATCTACTAGAATCTATACTTTCAAATATGACATTATGTACATAAAAGAACGATGAAATCTTCTCTTAAAACGGGCTCAATAAGCTGGATATTTAGTGAATTTATAATCGACAAGAATCTGCATTATCAAGTAGAAATCAAACTTCTTGATAAAAAACTGTGAAAATGTCCTCACGCTTTAGCCTTATCATCACATAGGGGTATAAAACCTTTTTAGCACTTGACTTTGTGTGGTAAATAGATAATGACACTTCACACACCCCTATTACCTAGCTAAAAGCCCCTTTTCACTGGGAAACCTTATGTTAATCRATTGGGAAAAAAATTATTAAAAGTTTTTCACAGAACTACTCTTCAGAATTCTTCAGTATGGCACTCAAATACGTCGGAAAAGTAGAAGGGAACACTATATTGGTAAAAAGGTGGAAACTGGCGGGAAACTAGCGGGAAACTTGTGTAAGCTGCGTCGGTGCTTTTGAAGAAACAGTTGTGTAAAAAGATAAATTTAACACCGTAAAAAAGGGGAAACAACTTATTGACGTTTCGGACGTTATAATCCTTCATCAGAGTAAAAAAAAAGCTACAACTATATTGATCAACACGTAATGTGTATGTTGCTAATTTTATGT